GGGGCCTCGTCTGCGCCCATGTGCTGGGCAGTCCCCACAGTGGTTCCCGGGCATTCCCGCATCCTGCTCACACATCCCTGTGGAATCCCCTCCCCTCCGGGGTGGATGGCCTGTGTGACCGCGCTCTCAGGAAGAGAATGGGGCAAAATGCTGGGATGTCATTTCCAAGCTGATGGAGGAAAGTCTGTGACGTCTCCTGATTCCCTCTCTCCTGTGTTCATTCTCTGTCTCCTTCTCTGTCTCTGTCTCTGTGTCTCTGTGTTTCTGTCTGTGTGTCTCTCTTTGATCCCGTGCTTTGGAGAAGCAAGACCAGATAGTATGAGCTGCCCTGGGAGACTCCAGTCCAAAGAACCTACAGAGGGTCCAGGCTGACAGAAAAGTCCTGAGCCCCCATTGTGAACCGAATCATGCCAATACCACGTGAGCGGTCTTGGAGACAGAGCCTGTCCTGGTTGAGCCTGAGTGGAGGCTGCAGCCCCGGCCTCCTAGGGGACCTGGAGGCAGAGGCTCCCCTGAGCTGAGCCGGGATTCTGGTACAGGAACTGTGAGATATGAAAGGTCTGTTCTTGCAAGCAGAGTTCGGATCGTGTCTTTGTCAGGACTCTGGAAGAATTTTGGTGTGCACAGTCAGTTCCTAAGCTGTGCAGAGGGCATCTAGGGTGTGGGGACCCTGTCCCTCAGGGATCTGGTATCCTCCACGTTCCAATAAGGAACTATCTAGGAAGAGCCTGTGGCCTCAGGAACTGTGGTGAGGTTTCTGGCAGCTGGATAAATGAGGCTTGCCTACACAGAAACCCACAGTGTTTCAAAGAGCAGAGCTCCGAAGGGCCTCCGGGGCGTGCTCTGTGCGGACAGGCCTGCCCCCCAGCGCCTTCCCCACAAGCATGGAGAGGAAGGGGGGTCTTAGTGGGCAGAGCCAGGGAACAATGGGCCGGGAGCCACTCACGTCCTGGAGGAACGAGGTTCCTGTGCTGCCTCTGGCAGACCCTGAGCTGCTGTGGGTGTGGCCACTCCGGGCCTCGCTCTCTCTTCCCCCACGGATGCTGAGCACATGGGGATCCAGCTAGGCCTCATGCCGTGTGGTCTCGAGGGGCCTCTGTGGTCGCAAGACCCCGGATTCGATCCTACTGCCCCCCATTAGAGGGGATGTGGGGCTCTGGGGTGGGGCACAGGGTGAGGACACCTGGCCTGACGCCCGGGGCAGAGCACGGTGCTGCTGCAGACGGAGTTCGGGGGCCGGACTGGCCATGTCTTCCTGCGCCTGCGCCCTTGGCCGGGAACGTGCATCTCGCAGGCCCTTCTGCACTTTGCGTTTGGCCCCTCGACATGCTTCACTTAGCCGCTGAGCCTGCTGTGGCCTCGGCGTGGCCGTGAGACAAGCAGGACGTGGCCACCCTCGGTGGGAGGGGGACAATAGCAGCAGAGCCGGCCCGAACCAGTCACCGCCAGCCACCCCCCTATGCGGGCGCAAGCTGCGGAGACCCCCACCACCCAGCAGGGCCGGCCTGCACCACCTGACCCCACGCTGCCCCGGACGGGAAAGCTAAGTAAATTCGTGTGGGTTCGTAGCGCAGAGATGCTGTGGGTGGTCCTTACGTGGCAGCAGCTGACTGATGCCATCCTACTGTGCTCCCCTTGGGTGGCCCTAACCGCGCCAGCAAATTCCATCACCCAGTACATCCTGTGACTCCACGTGTCCGGCTCCCACGTCTCTCTGTCCTCTGAACTCCAGCCCCCTACGTGGCCTCTCCGTTTGGGGGTTCTGGGCTCCAAGCTCAGCCCCCGAGCCTGCCCGGGGCTCCCTCTCCTATGACTGAACCTTCCTCCACGGCCTGTCCTCTCCTCTCCCCTCACACTTCCCTCCGCTTCCACCACTCTGGGGTTTTTCAAAAGCGGTTTCCTCTTCCACGGAAGCCCACCCAACTTCCTTGACTACCTCTGTGCTTCAGCTCTCTTCCGAATGTCCCTTCCTCCGAGAAGCCCTCCCTGACCCCTCCTGCCCCACCCGGCGTGAGTCAGACCTGCCGTTGTTTTGCGCTCTCTCCAGACACATTTCCCCGAGTCTGCAGTCGTGTGCATGGGCGGCTGCGCTGGGGTGAGCCTGTCCTGGCATCAGATCTCTGAAACCGCTTTTGCCAATTTGCCTCTCCCCAGCAGCTAGCACGTGCCTGGCATGTCACAGGTGCTTAGAAATGTTGGGCGAATAAGTGAACGACTTCCTGAGGAAGTGTAGGACATCAGGGACCATGGGGACTGGCGGCAGACGCGCTGTGGAGAAGGCATACGGCAGGGACGACATTGGACCAGCCGTGGTCTATTTCCCAGCAGAGAAGTGTGGCAGCCTCTTTCCGCCGTGTAATCTGGAGGGCATGAGCAGAATGGGCCCGGTCGGGCATCCCCCTGCCTGGTCAGCGCCTGCCCTCCTACCCCCTTCCTACCCCCATCTCTCCATGATCATAAAGGATCCCTCTTGGGCTACAGCCATGGCCCTGGACTTCACCCCATCAGTGGCCTGGGGTCATCAAACGCGTCTCAATAGGCCGTTGGATGTGAGGACCTGCAGTCTTGAGCAATGTTCCCCGGGTCAAGGGGGACCGCGGGTGGAGCCCCGAGGGGACGGGTGGGTGGACGCTGGCTCTCAGGGCAGGATGGTGTGGGCACACGAGGCTGCGGGAGAGAGAGGCACTGAGCTCTAGGGGCCGGATGGGGCCGGGCATGCTGTGGGCCTGCACAGAAGGGCGCGTGGCCGTCTGTTACCGTCTTTCGGGAGAACAGTCACACCGTTTGCGAGCTCCAAAATCTCACATATGTCTACGAATTTTTTCATGCTCGGGAAGCTGGACGTGTTCTGCCTGCCTGCAGTTGGAAGCAGAATCACAAGGTCAGAGCCCCCAGCTCTGGCCGTCTGGGGCCGTACCCGAGCCCGCGGCCACCGCAGCGCCCTCCGAGCTGGCAGGACAGAGAAGCCAGGGTGCTGCCAAGGGAGGCAGCAGTGGGCAGGTGACGGGGAGTGTCCTTCTGTCCCCTCTGTGCTCCGAGGCAGGTGGGTGTCCCCGGTGCGGCCCAGAGGCAGGCACCACACAGGGCCACTTGGGGAGCCCTCTCTGCTCCCAGGACCCCTCGGCCGGAGCCTGAGGCCCCTCCCGCTGCGCTCCTGGCCGCGCCCCCCTCCACTGAGACCACAGGACCCCTCCGACCTCTCCGATGGGTGTCCCGCAGGCCTCGGTGCCCAGAAGTGGGTTTGTGCCCCCCTTCCCCACCCCCTCTCTGGACAGAAGCTCCCTGCCCGTCCTCCCTTCACCACCTCCCCCTAAGTGGGTTTGTGCCCCCTTTCCCCACCCCCTCTCTGGACAGAAGCTCCCTGCCCGTCCTCCCTTCACCACCTCCCCCTAAGTGGGTTTGTGCCCCCTTTCCCCACCCCCTCTCTGGACAGAAGCTCCCTGCCCGTCCTCCCTTCACCACCTCCCCCTAAGTGGGTTTGTGCCCCCTTTCCCCACCCCCTCTCTGGACAGAAGCTCCCTGCCCGTCCTCCCTTCACCACCTCCCCCTGCTCCCCCGATCCTGCCCTCAGCCCGGGGGGTCCCCTGCCTCCGTGCAGACGGTCAGTCCCACTCCTGGCCTCTTGCCCTCTGGGCTCTGCCTGTGCACTGGCCTCCCCCACTCAGCCCCGTGGCAGCCACATCAGAGACCTGCCCACCTGGGTCCCCCGTCCGGGCGCCACGCTCTGCCTGCCCACCTGGCCACCCGTTTGCTGTGTGTGTCCCGGCCCTGTCCTCCTACTTCCCACTTCCTGCCAGCCTGCAGCGCAAGGGCCATGACAGGAACGGACTGCGTGTTCGTGTCCTCCCAAATTCATCCGTCAAAGCCCCAAAGGCATGGTGTGAGGTACTGGGGCCTTGGGAGGTGTGTGGGGTTAGCTGGGTGCTCACAATGGGATCAGTGCCCGTATAAGAAAGGAAGACACCAGAGCCCTCGCCCCGACACTTGACATAGTGAGAAGGCGGCCATCTGCAGTCCAGGAAGGGGGGCCTCCCCGGAACCCGCCAGGTCGGCGCGCTGAGCCGTGAGAATCAACGTCCATTGCGGGCGTCCGTGGGGTCTGTGGCGCTCTGTCATGGAGCCCGAGCTGAGGCAGGGGCCTCCATACCTTCCCCTCTGAGCTTGTCATCCCTCCGTCCCCCACCTGACCTGCACCCCACACGCCCTCTCCCCAGATGTTGCCGCTGGACTCACTGAAGAGCAGCAGGGTCTTGGAGGTCCGGCCAGCCCGGCCCAGGCGCACGTAGACCACGCCGTAGCTGTAGTCGGTGGACAGCACGTGGAAGCCCTCTACCCCCTTCACTGGACCGGAAGAGAAGCGTGGGGCCGCCGGATCAGGCTTGCACAGCAGGGGCATGTGGAAAGGGCCAGGAGTCCCTCCCACACACCCAACCACCTTCCAGGCCTAGGCTGCAGGCCCTTGCATGCTTGTGGGCTCTGGCACCGTGGCCTGCCTGCCCGCCCCGTGGGCCGCTGTCCATCCCACCCACCCAGCCCTGGGACAGAGGAACGGCATCTCCCAGGTCTGTGGCCGTGAAGCCAGGGACACGCCCACCCCCAGGTCTTTCTCTCCAGGCTCTGGGCCTTCATACGCACAAGTATTCCTGAACATCGCCTTTTTCCTATCTTTCCGCAGAATTAACGTGTGTGACTGGCACCCCTGTGACCTGGGGGGGCAAGGCGGGAGCCCTTTGTTGGCTCTAGTTTTCTGGAATTTTCCAGTTCGGAGCAGGGCCAGTCCCACAGCTTAAGGAAACACTCGGAACACCCACTCTCTGCCGAGTGCTCCCGTGTATGTGGTGGCCTCTCCCAAAATCAGGCCTTGAATTTTAGGGGCAGGACGGGGTTCGGGGCCGCAGAGATGGTCTGTTAGATTTGCAGATGATCGTGGGTCTGGCTCCCCCCGCCCCCGGATCCCTTTCCCCTCTTGACGGAGAGATGCCTGGGCTGTTTGTGGTCAGGTCTCCGTGAAGAGTGTGCTGGGCCCCCACCCCGGTCCACTCACCTGCTGAAGGCAAGGACCACCTTCAGCTGGCCCACTTTGTGGACCTCCACCATGGATGCCCCCAGCTTCCTCCTGTCTCTGCCTGGCAAGAATCTCTGGCCCTCAGAGGCGACAGCCAGAATGTACCAGAACCCTGAAAACTGTGGAGAGCGTGTTGGCGAAGCTGCCCATGCCAGGCTCCCAGCCGGGACCCCAGGAACCCAGCGGACACTGACAACTGGCCTGAGGCCCGGCCTGGGTCCAGCACCAACAGGCCAGCACAGCCCCTGCGCAGGGCCCCGGCTGCCCCTCCGGGCCTTGGTGGGCAGGTGCCAGGCGGGTTGGGGCCCCAAGGGCTGGGCCGTGGGTACCGCGTGGTGGAATTCCCTTCCTGTGCAAGGCCTCCCCCTTCCTTCCAGCTCGGCCCTCAGCCCCATCCCTCTGACTTCCTGCCACAAACCCACATTCCCAGGCAGTCAGTGCCCACGGCCACCCCCGCTAGAACCTTCCACCTGCCAGCCATCTCGCTGTTCCGGAACACGCTCTGCTCATTCGGCCTCTGCCCACCTAGCATCTCTGGTGCCCTGAGGATGCACCTGCCTGGGGCCCTTGGCCCTCCCCCCTCCTGTGTGGCCACCAGCTCCTCAGGGAGACACCAGGGCCTGAAACTCCTTCCGCCCTCGAGGCACTGCCCCTGTTCCAGAATGGCCCTCTGGAGATTTTCAGGAAGTGATCTTCCAGCCGCCCGCCACACACACTCCATCCCTGGCCCCGGTCGGCCTGGCTGTCTGGCCTGGGGACCGCAGGTGTGTGGCTCACCTTGCTCCAGTTGAGGTTGTGGGACTCCCTGGGTAGCTGTTCCTGTGGCCGGGACCCCATAGCCAGCATAAGCGCCAAGACCAGCGCGCACGTCAGCCTCCCTGGTCCCATTGTCACCCTCCTTCCGGCCGCCAGGGCACTGCGTTTAAATCTCCCCACCCACCTGACCCTGCCGTGGACGTCCAGCCAACCCGGAGCCTTGAGCCAGCCTGGGGTGGGCCAATGGGGAGGGAGAGGGGCTGTGGGGCACAGACAGACGGCCCAGGGGCTCGGCCTGGCAGGTGCTGCCTGAATTTGAAGGCCGTCGTGTGCCCCTGTGAGACCCCTGGGCCTGCCATCCTAGCCCCCCGGAAGAGAGGCAAGCAGCCGGGAGGCGTCCTTGTGAGTCCCTTCATAGGGATACTTGCCCGTGAGAAGCAGGACCACAGTGAAGACGGGGCTCAGACAGCACTAGCATGAAACCAGGGCTCTCTGTCCCGAGCGGGTGCTGACGGACAGGGCTGCTGGATGCGTGTGAGCGTGCCCTCCCGCCAGCCCAGGGACCGTGGTGACCTCTGCTTGAGGAGCAGCTGCCCCCAGCCCAGCCCCCACTCCAGAGCCAAGACCCGCGTCCACGTGTCCCCCAGCCAGAGCTGGTTCTGTGCTGTATGGCCCAGCCCTCCGTGAGCCCCACACCCACTCCCCTCCCTGCACCGACGGGAGCCCCAAGAGGGCAGCGCCCGCCTGGCATTGCTGTCCGCCCTTGGCACACAGGTGAGAGCCATCTGCAGGGCTTTGTGGGATCGCTTTATTTGGAACTGCAGGGTGAGTCCTGAGAGCAGCCCGCCCTGGAGGTCGACACATTCACTGAAAACCAAGAAGAGCGTTGGGGGACCCCAGGTTCACTGCGAGGGGTGTCTGCCCCGGCCCCGGCCCTTCACGGGGCAGAGCTCTGGGGTGTAGGACCTGGGGTGATGCTTGGGAAGGCAGCTTACCTAGAAAGCCTTGTGCGCACAGGTGGCTGGGGGGGAAAGAGGAGTTGTGAGGGTGGGCACCCAGGACACACCGCGGCCACCCCGCTCTGCCCATGGCCTCGCCTGAGACGGGGCCGGCCCTGCAGGCCTGGCTTTGGGCAGGAGCAGGTGACTCCATGTAGAGCTCCCCACCCCCACCCTGCCGGACTCCCTGAGGCCCGGAGGGACCCCGAGACCAGCAGAAGTCAGCCAGGGGCCCTGGGCATCGGGTGACACTCACGGTCCGGCTGCAGCGTGGCCTGTTGCTGAGACAGGAAGCCCAGGCCCTTGCTCCACCTAGCAAAGAGGCGCAGGGCCTCCTGGCTGGCCAGCTCCGTCCGGCCTGCAGGGCAGGAGGGGAGCCCTCACCACGTGTGCCCCGTGCCCCAGCCACCCCTCCTGCAGGGAGCCGAAGGGCAGGGATGGCGCTCTGGGGCCCTGGGGGCACGGGGCTCAGCACAGGCAGCAGGAGGATGCCCAGCGCGGCTGCCCCACGGGGAGTTCGTGGGGCTGGCCCATGGTCTCCACCACTTACTATACAGCTCAACGGTGTTGAACGCCTCGTCCTTGAACTCCAGCTGGGTGAACACTATGGCGTAGTCCCTGAAGTTGGTGCCCAGCACCCGGTAGTCCAGCACGCCCAGGGCTAGGAAATACGTGCCCCCCCCAGGGGGGAGCATCAGACCTCACGAGAGGCCCCCCCGGGAAGCTGAGCGCTCCCAGGCATTGTCCCCTGGTCCCCAGAGCCAGCACACAGAGGGCCTCAGGGACAGATGGCCGGCGAGTGCCTGTCCCAGCTCATGCTGGGGGGAACACTCCACCGATCATGTCCCCTCGGGGGCACCACCCCAGAGGGAGGCCTGGGGTCCCCGCGGGGCATGCCAGTGTGAGCCCTCTGTCTTCAAACCTCTGACAAAATGAGTCCTTTCACTTCCTAGTGGAAGTCTCGGGGATGGGCCCGCTCCCCTTCCCACGGCACTGGCCAGGCGGCAGGGGACGCCAGCCCAGGCTGCCGGTGGCGGAACCCACTGGGGATGGCCCGGAAAGCCAGCCCATCCCCCACCGCCCCGCGCCCCGCATGAGACCGCGGAGGCCGTCGCCTTACAGGGGTTCTCAAACACCCATCCAGAGCTCTGTCTCAGCAGCTCCACCACGTTCACGTCACACCTCTCCAGCCTGGAAGAGAGACCGTCCGTCCTCAGCTCAGGGTCCGGACTCAGGCCCAGAAGAGACAGGGTCCTACCAGCTACACCTGGCCAGCCACCAGCGTGCCACACTGGGGATCCTGGCTGCCGCTGACGGCCCCTGTTGCCCGGAAGCCTTGCTCTCCAGCGAATCCAACCTGGCCTGGGAATGAGCAGGCACGAGAGCCCTGCAAAGTGCAAATTGGCTTCCTTCCACCTCCCAAGAGGCCTCCCGTGCTGGAAGCCACATGACGGGCACAAAAGGAGCCTCTGACAAACACAGGGTCGTCTGCAATTTTGGGTAAAGGCACTCAACATCCAAAGGGGCCAACGTCCCCTAAGCGGTCAGTCCATAAGGTGAACAAACAACAGAAATGCAGTGGTCTTTGCTCACTAAGATGAGCTCATGGCTGGGAAATTCCAGAAGGGAGAACAACAAGCAAGAGCCATCCAGTAAACTGAGGCAGTGGGTCACAAAGCTGCAACAGGTGAAACAACGGGGTTTGGAAAATCAGAAGACTGATCAAAGGAATGAATGGAAAGTCCAGAAACAGGGGCACCTGGGTGGCTCCCTCCATCAAGCGTCCAACTCTTGGTTTCGGCTCAGGTTGTGATCTCGTGGTCATGAGACTGAGTCGGGCTCCGCGCTCAGCGCAGACTCTGCTTGAGATTCTCGCCCCCCCTCTGCCCCTCCCACTCATGCTCTCTCACTCTCTCGAGAATAAATAAATAAATCCTAAAAAAAAAAAAAAAGCCCAAAAATAAAGCAAAATGGGAACATGGGAATTTAGCACGTGACAAAGTCAGCCTGAGTCCGTGGAGGACAGAGGGGCAATTCGATAAATGATGTTAGAAATTGGGTAGTAATCTAGAAAAAACCAAGTTGTTTCTCCTTTTTTCCCAGGGTCAAATCCCAAATGCAGCAAAGATGCCAGAAGCACCAGGGAGTTGGAAGCCATTTCCTAACTGACGGTGTCACAAAAGCCCAGAGCCCCACAAAGAGAAAGCTGGTGTGCATCTCCACAAAAATGGAAAGAAATCCTTCATGTATGTAAAAAAAAAAAAAAAAAGTCCTCCTCAATGTTATAAGAAAAATGACAAACTGGGAAATATATTTGCAACTGGTTTCTGTCACAGACAAGCGCCTAATATCCCTAATCCTTAAGGGTTTTTACAAACCAGGAAAAACACACCTCAGAGAAAAACATGCCAAAGATGTGACCAGGCAGCGCGTTGGGCAGGAAGCATGTACGCCGCGAAGCTCCGGTCGTTAGAAGGGGCGCGTAGAAGCTGAAGGGGGCCATCTGTTGCCCACCAGATGATGGAGAACCGAGAGCACAGGAATGCCGAGCGCGGGCACTGGTTCAGGGGACCGGGCACGTGTGACACGGAGCCAGGCAGCTCCCAGGGACTGATCCTTCAGGGGACCCCTTAGAGGCGAAGGCACCAGGGCCCACGCCCCAGAGGGTGTTTCCAGTTGCCGAAGATTGGAGAGCACTGTCTGTCGAGCAGCAGAGCCCGGCAGAAGGCCTGTGGAGTGTCACACAGCGATCAAAAAGAGCAGAGCGCCCCGGTAAATGTGAAAGGGAATCACCGTATGGCCCAGCGATCCCCCTGCAGGGCGCACACCCAGGAGAACCGAAGGGAGACTTGCACACCCATGTTCATGACAGCGCCATTGACAAAACCAAACGGTGGAAGCAACCATGTGGCCTGTCCACACCATGGAACATAATTTAGCCTTAAAAAGGAAGGAAATCCGGACACATGCTACAACGCGGATGAACGTGGAGGACATGGTGCCGAGTGAGATCAGCCCGGCGCGGAGGGACCAATCCCAAAGGATCCACTCCCAGGAGGCCCCAGAGGAGTCGGACCCACAGAAATAGGGGCGGGGGAGGGGAGGGGTCCGTGTTCAATGGGGACGGACGGAGGGGGACGGCTGCACAACAGTGTGAATGTGCTTGACGCCCCTGAGCTGTGCGCTTAAAAGTAGTGAAGACAGTAAATCTCTGCGCTGTGTTTATCTTCCTGCAACTTTTAAAAATGTCATGAAGACAAAAGAGAACAAACTTCAAAATGTTTTAAAAGAGAGCAGAGCCTCTGTGGACTGATAGGGAACAACCCCCAGCGTGCCTGGGCAAATGACACACACGTGCTGGTGTGTGCCTGCCCACGCATCCCAAACACGGGTTACCCGCAGGGAGGAGATGGGCTGGCTGAGGCAGGAGGGGAAAGACCCCCACGGTACACCTGGGGGACCCTGATTTTTGGCCATGCGAATGTATTTCCTGTCCAAAGGCCAACAAATGAAATTTAATTACACAACAAAACGTGAGAGGCCCACTTGCCTCTCCTCTAAGCCCTGATCCGAATGTGTGTCTTCAGGCGGGGCCTCAGCACAATCCACCTTTCCAAATCAGGGTCTGGCCCAGGTCCCCGGACAGAGATGCACCTTGACACTGACACCAGGAGAGGCTGCTGACCAGTCACTCCGATGGGCAGCTGCCAAAAATGGGGTCTGAGCCCTGTGGCATCCCCGTGGCTCCTCCGGCCTCCGTGGCTTTGCAGAGGGCCCAAGGCCCTCCAGAGGCCCAGCTTCTGTATCTGGATGTCTGATTCCACCAGCTTCACCCGGACGACCCAGCCACGTGGCTTTGGGGCCAACACCATGGCCCGTGGGGCCAAGCTCGCCCAACACCGTGGAGCTGCCATCCCACCCCAGACCTCCTCTGCCCTTGCTTGTCCCAAGGCCAGGCCTGGCCCAGGCACACCCGGGCCCCACATCTCCTGCAGGCAGTTGCAAGAATGGGAGGGAGGGTACCTGGGGTCCCCCAAGAACCTGTGGCTCTTCAGCCCAGGGCATGACCCACTTCAAGCGGTAGCTCGAGAGGCCTCTCCCACCCCGGCGAGTCCCACCCAGACGCGGGGCACACAGCTCACTCACCTGTGCCTGGAGGACAGCATTTTCAGGTTGTTTTCTGGAGTAAGGGTCACCATGACGCCCTCGATGTTCTTCGTGGCCTTCTCCAGCGCAAAGCCCTTCTCACCTGAGGCCACGGCAAGAACATACCAGGACCCCAGGAGCTGGTGGAGGAGGAGCAGGTGAGGGGGGCCAGTCCCTCCAGCCCTTGGAGGCGTCCTCTCTCTATCTGGGAGCCCAGGGCCCCTTCCTCAGGCTAGCCCATCCCCCCATAGCCAGTGCCGGTCTGGGTTGGCTCTGGGAGGGTAACCCAGAGGCTGTGTGGCCCCACAGGAGGGGCCTGGGCCCCTAGGACCAACAGGAGGGCTGTTACCTGCTTAGGGTCCAGCCTCCCCAGCCACACTGCCTGGGTCCTAGGCACTGAGAGCAGAGCCAGCAGGACAGCCCGCAGGACAGCCCGCATCCTCCCAGAGATCCGCACACCAGGACACATGCCTCGGGGCCAGGGGTGTGCAGTACCTCCAGCCCCTGAAAACCCATTTATATGTCTCTGAATGGGTCACTGTGGGCGGCCACTAACCACCAGGACACCATCCTGGCCTCTCTTTTTGCAACGTGGGGAAATTACCCAAGGGCAGGTGGCATTATTATTCAGTGGCAGCCTCTGTGCTCTGCCCAGATGTGCTAGAGAATGGGGAGTGGGCCCCTGGGGAATGTGTGCCAAGCACACACAAAACGTTCTTTGTCAGCACTGCCATGCCAATCCCTGCTTCTTTTTTTTTTTTTTTTTAAGATTTTATTTATCCGACAGAGAGAGACACAGCGAGAGAGGGAACACAAGCAGGGGGAGTGGGAGAGGGAGAAGCAGGCTTCCCGCGGAGCTGGGAGCCCGATGCGGGGCTCGATCCCAGGACCCTGGGACCATGACCTGAGCCGAAGGCAGGCGCTTAACGACTGAGCCACCCAGGCGCCCCAAATCCCTGCTTCTTATGCTTCCTTCCACTGGAAGCTTCCAGAATGAGCATCCTAATCCCAGTCACACCACCTCCACTCCTCCCTGGGGATTCAACACTCTTGAGCCTTGCTCAGTCTGGGAAAGCCAGAAACCCTGGTCCTTAACCCTGGCTGGCAGTAGGCCAAGGCCAAGTCCGAGGGGAAGCACAAACAGTTCTTCCAGAAGCTGAAGGTCGGATCTTTTGTTTCAGTCATTAAAAATAAAAAAAAATAGAAACCGAAAATTTTTAAAAAGTTCCTACCCCCTCCTGGCTTACCCATTATTCTGCTCTGTTGGTCTTGGCCTCCTGCCCCCACCCACAGTCAGCACCCAGCCTGGAATGTCCTGTTCCTTCTGGCCCTCCACTCCACCCATCTGAACTTATCCACTCTCTGGCCCACCTTGGCCTTGCTGCCTCCCACCTCTGCACTCCATGACCCTGGCCAGACGCCCCAGGAGCTGCACATCCCCCAACATCCCATGGGAGCTCTGTATGGGCCCGGCTTCTCACCCCTGGATCATCTGAGCCCCTACCTGGGAGCAGAGGACAGAGGGCTTGGTAGGATCTGTCTGAGCCCCTAAAATCCAAGGGGAGGTGGCTAGGAAGATCCTTCACTGGGAGGTTGGAGGGAGTGGTGGTGTAGTTCAGACTACATTTCCAGACCCCTTTGCTGGCTGGCTTCCAGGGGTTCTATCAACACAAAAACAAGGAAGATTTGGAGGGTGGAGGAAAGATGAAGCCATTTGTCTTGCCAGGCCTTTCTAAGGAGGGACCTTTGTTAGGCCACCACTCCAGCCCCTGCTTGGGGGATGGGTTTACTGGTGAACAAAAGTAAACCAGCCCTTGTACAAATGTGCAGCTAAACTTTGCACTACCCCAGGGCCTGGGGAGTCTCAGGCCTTGAACACGTATTAGGGTGTCCCCTGATTACCAGTTTCCCCAATGCCTGGCAGAAGATGAAATACAAGGACAAAAATATCACCCTACTCTTCAAATTAATCCTGTTCATCATTTGACACAACATTTGAGGAGACTGAGATGAAAGAAGAGAAACACAGCAGAAGAAAGAGATAATAGAAGCAGACCCAAAATTGCTCCCTGCATTGGAATTACATGACAGGCTCTCCTAGTCCACTTGGACTGATATCACAAAAAACCACACACTGGGGGCTTATAAACAACAGACATTTATTTCTCAGTTCTGGAGGCTAAAAGTTCCAGTCAGGGTGCTAGCAAGGTCAAGGAGGACCTCTTGTGGGTCACAGACCTCTCACAGTGTCCTCATGGTGGAAGGGGTAGGGGAGTTTTGTGGGGTCTCTTTCATAAGGGCACTGATTCCATTCAAGTGGCTCCACCCTCATGACCTAGTCACCTTCCAAAGGCCCACTTCCCAATGCCATCATATTGGGGGCTAGGACGTCAACATGAATATTGGGGGTAGACACACATATCAGGACCACATAGATTGTGAAAACAGCTATGATCACCTTGCTTAACAAGATGAGAGCCACATTTGAAATTATATTGTATTTTCGTAATTCTCATAATACAGCTGGAAACCATAAAAAGTCATACAGATAAAAGACATCTGTGTAACCCAAAATAACCTTACAGATTGCAGATTTGGGGAAAAGTATATACAGTAGGCTCTCATGAGCCAAAATGAGCAGGTTGTACTACAAAGGAGACATCTTAAATTCTGGGAAAAAATAGATTTTTGTAAATAAATCAGGACAACTAGATATCCATTTAGAAGAAGATTAAAATGAAGCATATTCACCTCATGCATGAGAATAAACATCAAATGGATCAGAGATCTAAATGCTAAACATGGAAATGGAACCATATGAGTAATAAAAGAAATCATTGGTGAGTTTCTCTATGATGTGGATGTAGGGAAATGCTTTCTAATTGTATCAGATTTCACTCCTGAAGGTGGGACCATTAAGAGGCATATATATTCACAAATAAGGGGTTTGTGGCAGGAGGTTGACCTCACATCACTGTAGGAGCTCATTTCACAGGCCCTGTAAGGCTTTTGTCTTCTGGGAATTCTGGGCAATGTCATGCAGCCCAGGCAAATCAAGCCACTACAAACCCATAGGCCACACTAACTATGCATAAAATCCAGATGTAATAAAAGAAAGTACTGATAAATAACTTGACTATATTTTTAAACTTTTTTATAGCAAAAATAAAGCCATAAACAAAGTCAAAAGATGAGTGACAAGTCTGGAGAAAATATTTCCAACATATATCACATGCAAGGGCTAATAACCATACTCCATAAGAAACTTTTAGAAATTAAAGAAAAAAAGGGCTGAAAACCCATCAGAAAAAATGGACAAATGACATAACCAGATAATTCACACGAAAAAGTTAAAATGACCCCTAAACATATGAAAAGATGTTTGTTATGAATTGCATTCCACACCCCCCCACCAATTTCTATGCTGAAGTCCTGACCCCAGAACATCAGAATATGACTCTGTTTGGACATGGAGGCTTTAAAGAGTTAATTAAGTCAAAATGAGATTGTTCAGGTTAAACGTACCTGGGGTCCTTATCAGAAGAGATTAAGGTACACACACACACACACACACACACACACACGGGCGACCATGTGGGGACGTGGGGAAAAGACGGCTATCTACGCACCAGGGAGAAAGGCCTTGGGAGGAACTGACCCTGCCACGCCTGGAGCTGACTCCAGCCTCCAGAGCTGGGAGAGAACACACCTCTGATGTTTAAGTCTGTGGTGCTTTGTAATGGCAGCCCTGGTGAATGGATACAGTGTTCATTTTCATTCACAATAAGAAAAATGCAAATTAAAACTGCAGAGATGCCATTTATCGCCTATCATACTGCCAAAAATTGCAGAGCTTAGCCACACCACCCACACTTTGGCTACACGAGCATGCCCATGCACTGCCTGTCAGACTGCAAATGGTACAATCATTATAAAGGGGAATGTGGCAACATCCAACAAAACTTAACTACATGCCCGTTTGTCTTTTGTTCTAGAAATCCCACTCACAGGAATCTATCCTAAGGAAGTACCTGAGACAATACAAACGATAGATACACACAGTGGTTACTCAGTAAAGCATTGTTTGTGATTGAAAACTGTTGGAAGTCGGCTAGGTGCCCACACCCAGGAGACTGTTTGAATCACAGATGGTGCACCCACAAACAGTCCTATGCAACTATAAAAAATAACCCGAAGGTCTCTATGAACCAACATGGAGTGAGTGATACGACATGCAGGTGTATTGTAAAGTGGAAAAAGCCAAGTGCCAAAGGGCATGTGAAGTACACAGCCTTCTAGGTGAGACAGAAAGGATGATAAGAAAACTCATGTTGTCTGCTTATTTCTGCAAGAAGAAACACAGGAAGGATAAATCGGAGTCTAAAGAGCTTAGTCACCCACAGGGGTAGGCTGGGGAGGAACTTAGACCCCCTCCCCACAGCATACCTTCTTTTTTTTTTTTTAAGATTTATTTATTTATTTTAGAAGAAGAGAGAGAGAGCAGGGGGAGGGGCAGAGGGACTGGGAGAGAGAATCTTCAGGCTGACTCCCTGCTGACCTCAGAGGAGCCCGGCACGGGGCTTGATCCCACGACCCTGAGATCATGACCTGAGCCGAAATCAGGAGTCAGACGCTTAACTGACTGAGCCACCCAGGCTCCCCTGAGCATACCTTCTTTGTGTAGCTTTGACCTTGGGATCATGGTAATCTACTGCACTTAATAATAAATGAATGGAATACAACTGTATTATAAGCGAATGACATAACCACGGGAAGGGGGGCAACGGAATCAGCCCTGAGAAACTTTGGATGGAGTATTTTTTCTATGTATTCTCAGGCTAAAGAGTAAAGGAGCTCTAAGCAAATGCTGAGTTCTGGTCGTTTTGAGGCTTGCTCTCTGCAGTGGTTTGGGTGAGCAACTCTAGAACTGTTTTCCGCGCGCTCGGGGGCGGGTCAGAGGAGAATGGTTCTCCCAGGGTTGGGAAGGCATGGGGAAAGGGGGGATCTCTCTGCTGAAAAGGTTCAACACCATTCTGTCCCAGTGAGAAGCAAAGCTGAGTGCACCTGGCCCTCAGACCTTGGTTCCTCAGTACTGTTCTCTACAAAAAGGAACCAGGCTCCTTGGAGAGACTATTCCAAGGTTGAGTCACAGGAAGCATAAGAGGAACTTGGGTTGATTCTGGTCCCAGAGAGTAAACATGTGTTTGAGGAATCAGAGGAACGTGTCAAAAATACTCAGGGGCCATCCTGAAGGAGCCCCCACTGGACAAATCTGCACGGGTTTGCGTATCAAGATAAAAGACCGCAATACGTGATAATTTATGGAAGGAAGGAGGGCTGCCCAAGTCCGTACTGACAGACAAGACACACGTGCAGGAGAAGCGAAGACTCGAGGTCCCCGGAGGATGCTGGCCAGCTGCACTGAGCCACGCTCTCCCAGTTTCCCAGCCCTCCTGAGCTCCCTGCGGACCTGCGTGGGCATCACCCACGATGTCCCTCAGCCTGAGGACCATGCTAACATTTACTTTTTGTACTGCACATGTGCTAGGGACGAACTCTCTGCACTTCAATCTGTGTAAACATAGCTTCATTTCCTGCAATTCCGAGTTGTTTGGGAGATGTGCCTCCGCGCCTGGCCTCTGCTGCTGAAGCGCCCTTTCCCCCAGCTCCGTTCACCTCGTCTGCAAACCGAGTTAGTGCCTCACACCGCGATGTCCCTGGGAGTGGCGCACCTGTCCCGCATAGGCTTCCCTGAGCCTCAGGGATGTGTTTCGTAGAGTTGGGCATATTTTGGCCTCTATTTCTTCAAATATTTTTCTGCCCCATTTTCTCTGCCTTCTCTTGCTGGGACGAGTCTACATGCCCGACTTCGCCCCCGCCCCAGTCATTCTCTGCTCTGCTCCTTGGCTCCGATGATCTCCGTTGATTTGTCCAGTTCCCGGCCACCTGCCGTCTGCTAAGCCCGTCCAGGAAAGCCTGGGGCCCGGCGACCCCGAGTGGCATCAGTGTTCCGGCCTGGCTCTCCACACAGTCTCGGGCTCCAAGGGCCCATCTCTTCCCACGTTAGTTCTCTGTGCATTAACTGACTGTTTAATTCTGCCATTTCAGAACAAGCTAGCTCCCGGAGCCTGCCTTCCTTTTGTCCTTGAACTTACTTATGAGGGCAGCGCTGGGCCAGTGTGTTCGAAACCCGCCTGCAGGCCTTCTGGGGACCTCTTCCTAGTCTCCCACCCCCCTTGTTTCCTCGAGCGTCCAGCGGCCTGTGTGCTCACACTGCCTTGCAGAGGCCCTGGATGCCCTTGTCGCCCTCTGAGTGGTGTGGGCTTTTGTCGGGGACGGAACTGCATCCCCAGAAATGCTACTGTTGAAGCCGTAGTCACCACTGCGGCTGTGTCTGGAGCTGGGGCCTCTTAGGCGGTGACAGTGACGGGGTGCGGGGGGCTCGTGCCGGTGGGACCGCATCTGCTAGGACTGGCGCCCTTCTAAGAGGCAGGGAGCCCCAGCGATGTCTCCCAGTGCGCGGAGTGGAGGCCACAGGCAGGCACCGTGGGAAGCCCACCAGCTCCAGGCCAGGAAGCGGGGTCTCACCAGAGACCAACCCTGTCAGCACCCTGACCTAGGGCATCCAGCTTCAGAAGTGTGAGAAATAAACCCCCGATGTCCCAGGGCCACCTGCGGCCCGCCGTACTCTGTGACGGCTGCCCGAGCCGATGGAGATGACTCCGTCACCTTGCAGGCAGGTCACCTTGCACTCCTTGCAAGCTTTGGCTGGACAGATCTGTGGAAAATCCAAATTGTCCCCAGGCACCCCTAATCTGTCAGAATGCAGCTTCCAAACATCCCTCCTGTGGGTCTTTTGGGAACTTGGCTCAGGAATCGGTCCGGCAAGTCCCAGGCAGGCCCCACCCTCGGGGCAGGCCTCGCTCCTGGCTGGATGGCTGAGTGTCACTGGGGTTTCTCTGCTCTGGCCGGGCCGGTGCCCGCCAGTCCCCCAGCACTGCTGGACCTCGGGGACCCCTCTCCTGCCTCACCCATGGGGCAGCTGCTCCCCAGAAACCTTGGTCGTCCCGGGCTGTGCTCAGAACCATGGAGCTGACACCCGCCCCAATTTCCCTGCCCTGACCAGGCCACCCTGGATGCCCTCCAGTCTCAGCCCCAGGTGATGGAAGAAAATGTGGTGATCAGACAGTCAGTGCAGATCATGGAGTGACAGAGTTCATGATGGGGACCCAGACACTGAAGAGGTTGGACCACCCATGCAAGGTGGGTGGGAGGAGGCGAGCAGGGCGACAGAACAGCCATGACTGGAGGGCCCTGGCCACAATGCCCATGGGATTTGACTTTGGAGCAGTAGGGAGCCATGGAGGAATGTAAGCAGAAATGCAGCATGGTCCCCTTTCATCTGAGAGATCTAACCTGCTGCTCTGCTCAAGGGCAGCAGGCCTGGGGCCGCTCAGGCTCTCGGGGAGCAGGGCAGTAGCCTGAGGATGACTGTGGGGCCCACACACATGGGCAGCCTGGCCTGTGGGCCCTGAGCAGGGCAGGGCTGGGCATGACCCTCGGGTGGGAAGGAGGGAGAGGACCCTGCCATCTTGCATCCGAGCTGTGCGGTCCCCGGGCCCCACAGGGAAGGAAACACAGACCAGACCGGAAGCCAGCCTGGCCAGTGGCGTCCCCCCAGCTCAGCCCTCTCTGGGCAGAGGTCCAGCCAGGGATGGGATCTGAATGGCTCCCGCTCACCAGCGATGCTCGCGGTGTACACAGACCACCAGAGTTAGGTTTGCTGTCACTGTCAGGACAGTCATGGAAAACACACCCCACGGCCCCAGCCGTCACCCCTCAGGCCCCGCTCCCCCAAGAAAGACACTCGGGGCAGTGGGTTTGTCAGTGGGGTTTATTCGGAGAAGGTACCAGCAGCGCCCTGGGGCCAGGAGAGCCCGGGGGTGGGGGCGAAGGCTCGGAGCATCCCGGCCTGGGCACAGGCATCCTCTAGATCAGCTCCTGAGACACAGAAGGGCAGGGCCTCAGGGCACTGCCTGACCTCCAAAGGCCCCTGGGGGCAGTGGTTAAGGCCACGGGTGGGGGCCCGTGTCCTAGCTGCATGACTGTGAGCAAAAAGCCTCCCTGGGCCTCAGTTTCTCTACCTGCAAGGCAGGGTCACAGTCCCCAGCTCTCGGGGCTGTGCTGAGACAGAGGGGATCATGCAGGGGATGGGCTAGCACCGTGTGGGACACGGGGAACCTGAGACGGTGCCCACAGGGCTTATGTCCCCACCCTGCTGGCCAGAAAGGCAGGACGAGGGCCCAGCCTCCTCCCGTCCCTCCCCCAGCCCTGTCCTCGAGGCCCCAGCCTCCGGGGTCCCCCTCTGGCAGCCTGGCGTCCACACCCTGGAGGCCCAGGATGCAGAGTGATTCAGGGTCCCTGTCAGGTCGGAAGACTCAGCTTGGGGGACTCAGCGCAGCCCAGGGCAAGGCTCACCTCCTTCAGGAGCTTGGCGCATCTCCCTGTGGGACAGGGGTGGTGTGAGGTGCCGCAGGACTGGGCCTATTCCCACCCTCAGGGTCCCCAGCCCAGCACCCACCCAGAAGGTCTGGGGCTCACCATGCCGGGCCACCAGGTAAAGCCCCATGTCTGCTGTCATCTCCCGGAATCTCCAGAAGCCTGGCCCATACTCGTCCTCCAGGCTCCGAGCTGTGGGGGGCACAGGGGGGCTGGGCTGGGCGGGGCTGTCCCCAGGAGGGCAGCAGCAGGCCCCCCCCTCCCACCCCAGGGTGCACTTACTGAAATACTTGAGCACATGGTAGTCCTTGCCTTGCCAGTGGAGGGACAGCCTCAAAATGGCAAACTGTTCATAGTCCGTGTCTATCACGTGGATCTCCCTGTGGCCTGGCAGCAGGTGGGAGTGGAGAGACTGCAGACATGCCAACAGGTACCGCGCAGTTTGGGAGACCTCCGAGGTGGGGTGTGGGGTCTGACTCCATCCTCTCCCCACCCAGCGCCCAGACCTGCCCTTCATGCTAGGCACGGGGGGGAGGGGGACGGGTAGAGCAGCCCTTGAAGGATGACCCACTTGTGTTAAGAGAATGGGAGCATCTGGGGCATGAGGAGAAGTGCAGGGAACAGCATGGGGAACAGCACAGGAAAAATAGCAAGGCCAAGTGCAGCTGGTATGCAGGGCCAGGGGGTTGAAACTGTAGCAACAGGCAAGGGTTCTTACCAGGAAAAATGAATGTCCCCGAAACATCTATTTCTGAGCTCACTATTTTTTCTGTCTCACAACTTCCTGAGCTGAAAGGCAGCAACGTGCTCATCAAGGAAATGCCAGCCTGCATTCTTTCTGCCGGGCACATCCCAGGGGGTGCAGAGAGGGGAATGTATCCTCAGAAAGGGCTCCAGCAGTGTGTCTGTACCCAGGAGAGCCTGGGCCATGATGAGGACGGTGGAGGTGCAGAGCGGGGGCCTCCAGAGAGCCCCGTGCCCAATTTTCTTTCTTATAACTTAATGGGGCTTTATCAAAACTCTACGCTTATTTTTGGGAGAATTGAAGGTCTGGGGCAGATCTACATGTGGCAGCTCCAGCAGCCTGGGGGGGGGGTTGGTGCTGGGGATGGGGGTCAAGGTCTTGGGTTTTGGACACAGGGAGGATTGACACAGTTCAGACCCCACAGCTGCAGCTGGTGCAGCCGGGCTGCTTCCAGGCACTCGGCCTCACGTGCCTGTTCCTACCGGCGCTCCCGGGGGAGGGACCCCTCACCTGTTATATGCAGCCTTCACAATCAGCTCATGTCCACTCAAGGTCAGGAACAAGGCTTCCAGCCTCTTTGGGGTCTTCAGTGCCAGGTTTTGGCTGGAGGCCACACCAACTTCCCGCCAGAATCCTACAATCTAGAGAGAGAAGCCGGAGCCCCATCCGATGTGGCAGACCCACCCAGGGCCCCCAAGCAGTGTGCCGGGGGTCCCTGAAAGGTCAGCAAGTCTTTGTGGCAAAGCAGCGGTCACCATCCTTCTGAGGAACCCCTCCAGCCCATCAGACAGCAGTGCGCCGTCCTTGGGGCCAGGATGCCAGGGGCAGCGGTGGTTGGGGCCCCAGAGAGGAGGCAGCGGCCAGCAGCCCTTGTCACCCACAGGAGGATACAGCTTCGCCCCCACGCTGGGAGCTGGGGTAGGGAACTCCCGCCTTCCAAAATCCACCCACAGCCCAGAACTTCCATCTGAAACCTGGAAACCAATTGTTTTGCAAGAGAAAAGAATACATGTCCCCAGTACGTGTCATCCCTGAGCCTTCTGACGTGCTCCCAGCTCGGCTGCCAATGCAGACCTATGAAGGACCTGGGGCCCCAGACGAGCTCCCCGCACTGGGAAAGCGTCCTCTGGTCACCACACTGTGCAGCACCCTGGGAGCTGGTACAGCAGGGCTGCTCCCAGGCACTTGGCCTCTTCCTACCGGAGCTCCCGGGGGATGGACCCCAATGATCCAGGAGCAGGAGGTGGCCACGCTGAGCCCTGGTCCCTGGACACCCTGGAGGACCAGGCTACCTGCCCACAGGAGACCCTCAGGGAGAGCTCTGGCCCTGCCGGGCCCTGGGCACTTGCTCTCACACCCCCTCTCAAGGACAGGGGTGACTGGCCAGGCTGGGCTCAGAGCCTAAGCCACCTGCTCTGTCCGGGCTGAACTGGGTGGGTCCTGGGGCCCCTGATGTAGCTGCTCTGGCACTGGCTGGGGGTTGGAGGGACCGGGGGGGTGGTGGCTGGAGTGGCTGGACACTCAGGCCCCTCCCTGCCCCGGCCTCCCCACGTAAGACAGAAAAGCCACCTTCTGCAGATCCAGGTCCTGTATGGCTGTGCCCCCCTGCACCATGACGACGCCCAGGATGGCACTCAGCACCCCAGCCTCCATCGCTGCTCTCCGCGCCTCTGCTCCCCCAGCACCTGGGTTTATACCGGAGGAGTGTTGCGCAAGAACCTGGGAATGTCATCAGTACATGTGGCCGAGGCCGCCCAGCGAAACGGCTTTCTGCAGGCACGCCATGGGGGCCCAGTGACACCCAGCCGCTGGGGTGGGGTCAGCCTGCGCGAACGCAGCGGTTCCACTGCCGCCCTGGGCCTGGGACGACAGTGGACCCGCACTGGGGCCGCTGGGGGGCCTGAGAGGAGGAGGACGAGGCCCCCCACCACCACGGGGCGGCTGGGGACCACAGCTCCAAGCCCATCGGAGCTGACAGATGGGTACGGCGCACCCAGGCGCCCGGGCGCAGAGCTCCTTCCTCACAGGGCACGGGCGGTTTTCAGGCTCTTTGTCATCAGTCTTGGGGCAGGTGAAGAAAGGCTCCGAGGCTCTGGTATGGCTGGCTGAGGCAGCCCTGAGCTGAGGGGGGACAAGAATGAGGGGTCTCCTCTCCCTGGGGAGGCCCCCGCGGGGAGGCGAAGCTTAGGAGCAGCATGGGAGAGGCACAGAGGCCCCTGGGAGACCGAGGTGGGGGCCACATCTCGGGGACCTCTGCACACACTGGGGAGCCACCTTCCTGTGGCCCGTGTCCCCATCCACCGTGACCATACCCAGCCCCGCCCCCAGGCCAGGCCCCATGCCTGACCTCCCCTGGACTCACTCAGGCTTCCCACACAGCCAGGTACGACCCACAGCCCAGAAGGCCAGCCTGAGAGAGGCCCTGTCTTGCTGACCCACCGACCCGATGAACACAGCCAGCACATGAGCCAGGGTGGTGGGCGGCCAGAGCCGGCTCTTCCCCAGCTGGGCGCCCCCCCCAGACAGATTTTATCCCGACCATGAGCACGGCAAGAGGAGCTGGGCTTCCGGGACAGCAGCCCCCGCCCGGCAAGCTGTGAGCCTTGGTTTCCCATCTGTTATGGCCACAAAGCAGGGGGACAGGTGCCATGTGGCCAGGAGGGGTCCGAGGGTGCCCAGAGCAGCTCCTGCCCAGATCAGCATCCCGGGTCTTGACCAGTAAGAGGCAACCTTCCCAGCTTCAGGGCCAGAAAAGGGCACCCTGGAACGGCTCCAGGCTTGGTCAGCTAAAGGGGAGCTCCCCCCACCAGGGGGACTGGCCACCTCGGATCCTGGATGCTACACTGCCCTCCCACAAAGGCTGTCAGTTTAGGGTCAGGCACGCGGGGGAAAGGTCAGGCCAGGACAGGGAGGCCCAGAGCTGGCCAGCCCGCCAGAGGCCGAGGGGGCCACCACACAGCAAGAACAGCAGGGGCCCCCCAAGGAAGCTGAGGACTGGCTGGTCTGGGACCCAGGCTGGTCCCAGCCTGGGCTGATGAGAGAGGGCCCCCCCAGGGATGTGCTTGGCCAGGCAGCAGAGGGAGGACAGGAAGCGTGGGGGACAATGTCTCTGGGTGACGAGGACAGACGCCCCTCATCTGATCTGGCTGATTGCCTCCGGCTCCAGCCCTGGGAAGGCTGCAGGACCGTGAGCAATGAAGCAGGACCCCCACTACCTTCCTGCCCCAACCCACGCCCGGCCCTTTGAAGTGTGTGCGCTGGACATAACCTGGACATGCAGAGCTCCTATCAGGAGAAGAACAGCAGTGGCCAGCAGCCCCCAGGGAGGGCTCTCTTCCCCACCAACATCTCATAGAGGGTCCGCAGGGAGCCCAGGCCCTGGAGCCTGAACACTGGGCCTGAACCTCAGCCTGGCCCCTCGCTGGGCAAGTCACCAACTTCTCTATGCCTCAGTTTCCCGAATAAGGAATGCAGCAAGCTCACTGTGTGTGTCCAGGGGTCCACTGTGGAGCATATGACATGCCAAAGGTCAAGGCCACCCCAGCGGCAGGAGGGAACACCCCCATGACCCTGCTTTGAAGCCCCCATGTTGCTGTGCCCCCAGCTCCTGCAGCCAGGGGTCTTCTGGCCTCCTTCACAGGGCACCCTGGCTCCCTGAAGGTGTGTGAACCCATGGGGGCCAGGGCAGTGGCATTAGACACCGCCCATGGGTACAGCCCCTCACGGGTGCCACGCTGGACTGGAGCCTCCTGTCCCCTCAAGCCGGGAGGTGCCCAGTGGTCAGTGTCTCCTGCAGGCCCACTTCCCTGCCTCAGTTTCCCCAGGAGTCCTGGATCAAGACAGGACTCCCCAAGGGCCTCTGCAAAGAAGTGAGGGGCCTCTAGACTGCAGAATATGTTTATTGAGTGGAAGAGGGAGGTCCGGGCATGAAGAAAAGGGGGTGACCCAGGAGGATGGTGGGTCCAGACAACTCGGGACGACAAGGTCTGCTGGTCCAGCTCACCCTGCCAGACAGGAAAGGCACGGTCACTCCATGCACCCACTCTCAACAAACACTCCTCAGAGCCTCTAGCTGCCCCCATCCACAGCAGGTGCCCCCCCAGGCACACCAGAGGCCACTAAAGCACAGCAAAACCCCAGACTCAGCACCTGAGAGGGGGTCAACTTGGGGCGCTTCACCCTGAAAGTTGGGGCAGAGCATGCAGCGAGAAGCTGGGGCTCATACTCTCCGAAGGTAGAACCTTCCAGAGGGTGACATGACACATCCCTACCCCCTTCCTCCCACCAAAGACAACCGCCTGTGTGGTGCAGACAGGGCCAGGAGGCTGGCAGCATCTTCTAGACCCATGAGAAGTCTAAACAGCCCAAACACCCCACTGGGTGAATAGCCAGCACAGCCAGGGAGAGCAGGATGCCAGGCGGGATGCCGGGAGGGGTGCTGGGAGGGGTGCTGGGAGGGGTGCCGGGCACGCTCCCTGCAAGGTGAGGAAGGAGCCCCACCACACAAACACAGGCCTGCCAGGAGGGTCCACAGGGCTGCCTCTGACGCTTCTGTTATTTATTGTTTTATGTGGGTTCCCAAACTATTCACTGTGAACTCAGCAAGAGGCTGGACAGTTTCCTGGCATGTACTCAGGGGGAAGGTGTCCCCAAGAGCCCACCTGTTTCCATGTCCCAAGGGCTCCCGGGGACCCAGCCCTGTGACAGCAGTGATCCGCAAGGTGGCAATTCCCACCTCATGGGACCCTCTGGGGGAGACCAAGTACCCAGACAGTTCCAAGGCCCAGCAACCCAGGGGGTGAGTCAGAGGCTGTGGGACACACAGCATACTGGATTGACAGCATCCCCCAAAATTCATGTCCACCCAGGTCTTCAGAACAGGACCTTACTCGAAGACAGGGTCTTTGTGGATGTGACCAGTTAAGGATGGAGATGAGACCGTCATGGATGTAGGGTGGGCCCGGCCCCCGTGACCGGTGCCCTCGAAAGAAGAGGGACATCTGAACACACGCAGAGGGAGGACAGCCGTGTGACAATCGAGGAGGCAGAGGTAGCAGGGCTGGGTCTACAAGCCAAGGGACGCCGAGGACCGCCAGCACCAGCAGAAGCTGGGAGAGGCCGAGATTCTGCCCTAGAGCCTCCAGAAGGAACCAGCCCGGCCCACTCCTTGACTTGGGCCTCTGGCCCCCAGAACTGTGGGGAGTACACGTCTGTCATATGTGGTAATTTGTTAAGGCAGCCCTAGGAAATCAGAGGAGGCTTCCTGGAAGAGGTAGCATGTAAGCTGAGGCCTGAATCGTGAAAGTGGACGGCCAGGCACCTGGGTGGAGGGTGTGGGGAGTGGGATCGCGGGAGGCAAGGGTGCACGGCAGCCAGGGCAGAGGCCCTGGGGAACAGGACGGAGGAGTCACCCTGCCTCCCTCCTACCTGGGAAGGGCCGAGGTGGGTCTCCGCAGGTGTCAGGGAGCCTCCTTGTCCCCAGAGGAGCACATATCTGTGGGAAGGAAGATAGTCCTTGCGAGGCTGAGCCGGCCGGGACGCCCACAGCTTCGGGCAGCCCGACCCCTGGGTGCCTTGGGCCCCCAAACAGCCCCACCCACTGAAAGACTCTCCCTTCCTGGTGGCCCAAAACCTCTTCCTTAGTGTGCGTCGGGGGAAAGAGGTGGCTGTGGGCAGCAGCGGCTGGAGGGCCTGTCAGCCCACCCTCACAAGAGATGCCACCTCGTCTGGCTCACTCCCAGGAGTCGGGAAGGGGCCTGTGTACCTGACTTGGGCAGCATGACCATCATGTCGTCCGGGAGCCCCACGGTGGGGTAGAAGTCCCGGAAGATCTTCACAGCTTGGGGACTTGCTTCCTGGGTCCGGCCTGGGGCAGAGGAGGGCCCCTGTGAGCTCTGGGGCTCTCAGAGGAGAGGGGAGGGGGGCGGAGCTCTCCTGGCCTCAGGGCTCTTCCTTGAGAGTTGACAGCAGGTCTACCCCCCAAGATTGGGCAGGTAGTGCACTGCACAAAGGTGCCTGCTTCACTGGGGGATCAATGAGGACTGGAAGCCACCCAGAAGGGTGTCCTTTCCTAATTCACAGGAGGTATCTGGGAAACTGGGATGGCCTGGCTCTTCCCCAGGGCCATGTCCCCCTGGGCCCCCACCCCTCAGGCCAAAACCAGTGTCCAGCCCTCACCCCAACCTCCGTACCTTGGGGAGCCCCTGGCTCGCTCTGTCAAAGCCCTCAGAAATTAAAGCAAAATAGGACCTCAGCCCCCATTTAGGCTCTCAGGCAGTGGGTCCCCACCCTCAGGAGGCCAGAGAGTTGCATGGGCTTCAGCCAGAGTGCCCGGCCCTCAGAGGGCCCTCAAGCCGACTCCTACCCATCCGAAGAGCTGGGGGGTCCTGTCACCCCTGTCTGGTCCTTCTTGGCTTGAAGTTGGGGGTGATTGATGTGGGGAGGCAGGTCCTGAGGGGTGGGGCTGGGGGGAGACAGAGAAGGTGGGGAGGGGCCGGGGTGGGGAGGAGAGGGCCAGGTGGGCAGTGACCAGTGGGGGCCTGAGTAGGGACGGCGGGCAGCTGGGCGCCCTCACTGTAGAGCTGCACCATGGTGCTGAGCGCTCCCTCCAGCTCCTTGTAGATAAAGACCACGGCAAAGGAGTTATAGTCTGTGTCCACGATGCGCACGTCCAGGTAGCCCAGGGCTGCAGAGGAGGGGGCCACCCAGCCATGGAGAAGTGTACAGGGCCCAGACACTGACCCCCACCCACACTGTCCTCTGCTTCGGGGCTCAAGGGAAGGGCAGAAGGTGGAGGGAAGGAGGGGAGGGGCAGGAGATGGTGATGGTGGTCCCAGGTAAAAGGACAGTCCACGTCATCCCATGGAGAAGCTGTGTCAGGGGTCCCGGAAGGCAGGTGGAGCAGGACCTACCTGGGACTCTGAAGTGGCCCTCAGAGCCCACCCTCAGGTACTCAGCATCCACCTGGTGACAGCCATCAGCCCTGGGGGTGCACAGCCCGGGACTCACTCTCAGCTGCTGGCCCAGCCTACCCCCACCCCCAGCCCATCACACTCACCGAGGGAACTCCATGTGGACACTGAGGTTGCCCCCCACCATGGCCTTGATGGCCCTGGTGGACATCAGCAGGTGGTCCTTCTTGCCCAGGAAGACCTTGCAGTCGGAGACCATGGAGGCCACGTACCAGAGGCCTGAGAACTGCAAAGCAGCTCGGTGGCTGGCTTTGCCCTGGGACCAGGGCCACAAAGCCACATGGCCACACAGGCTTGTCTGGAACCACACGGCCAGGGGTTTCTGTGCCCATCTCTTGCCCTGAGCCCCTGTTCTGCCACCTACCTGGGTGGGTTGCATGACCTCGGTTCCCCCAACCGTAAAATGGGTCAGTAATTACCCCCACAGGGTTGTTTCAGGATTAAATGGAGAGAGGATCCAAGGGTCCGAGGACGGTGCACTGTTACCCCATGGGGCTAGCATTTCCCATGGGGCTCAGGCCCCACGCCCACCTGCGACACAGCACAGCGGCCTCTGTTACCTTCTTAGCATCAAAATCGGGCTGCACCAGGACCTCAGCCCAAGCCACGGACACCCAGAGCAGCACCAGGACCTGGCCCAGCTGGACGCACTTCATCACCATGCCTGCTCTCCAGCCCCTGGCACCTGAATCCGAGCCCCAGGAGGCCAGGCTTTATAGCCCAGCCCACCAGCTGGGCTCCGCCGAGGAGCAGTCGGGCAGCAGAAGGCATGTGGCTCTGGAAATTCAGCCCTCTTTGTCCATTGTCCCGCACAATCACCCAAGGTCCCCCACCAGCCCCAGGGGTCATTTCCTGGAGGGCTCCAGAGAGGCAGGCTCTCACCTCTCACCTCTCCCGATCCAGACCTGCCAGCCAGTCACCTAGGACCAAGCAGAGACCTCATCTTGGCCTCCATCCACCTCCAGACTGCTGGGGCCGGGGGCCCAGAGTGCTTGGGGGTGCTCTAGCCAGCAGGCCCCTACTCAGGGTCTGGGCCCCCAAAGTCCTCACTCACTCCCCCCCGACAGGAGTGGAGTCACCACTGGCCAGCCCAGCTGTGACCGAGGGGACATCAGAGGCCGGGGTGCCCCTCACTCTGGACCCCACCGCCCCCTCCGCAGCCACCAACTGAGCCTCCAGCGGGCCCGTCTGGAGGGCGGAGCTGAGCCGCCACTTAGGGGTGGATTATGGCGTCACAGCCACCTTATCAACGGTTGCATAAGCGCGCAGCCCCGAGTGTCGCCAGGGAGGCGCCCCGGGCTGGTGGGGGTCACTGGCAAGGCCTCCCGAGTGACCTCTCGTGTGCACACAGACAGAGCAACAGAGACTCCACTGGAGGACCACCTGGTGGCCTCTGATCAGGGGCGTGCACTGCTAAGTGCTCCAGAGAAAGACCCACGTCCCCCAGCAGGGAAGGAGGGGAGAAGCAGAGGGCTTCTGAGTGCTGCCTGCTCTGGGTTTCAGGGGATCCCAGCTCTGGCCAGGTCCCAGAGTTACTGGGACTTGAAAATATGTACAGAACACGCATCTGATAAAAGACTTAAATCCTGAATCTGTAAAGAACTCTCAAGATGCAATGATAAGAAAAATAAGCAACCCAAGTTAAAAAAAAAAAAAAAAACAGGCAACAGATTTGAAAAGCCACTTCACCCAAGACGACGTCCAGATGGAAAATAAACACGTGAACTTGCGTCCGTGAGTCAGGGGACACGTAAGGCGAAGCTGCTCTGAGACACGCCGCAGCTCTGGGAGCGGCCAGTCGCCATCCAGCAAGGACTCGCTGCCGGGACGCCAGCGTGTGGCCAATTCTCAGAAAGGGACACACTCATTTCCCGGACAATATGACGATCACACACCTCGGTGTTTACACGAGAAAAATGAAAACTTTGGCAAACCCTTGCTCGTGGGTGTTTGGAGGGCTCTACGCACCACCACCAAAAAGCAGAAGCCACCAAGTGTCTCCCGCGGCTACCAGGATGACAGGTCCTCCGTGGCAGGAGGGCATGGAAAGAACAAACCATCCACTCAGGTAACATGCTTAGACAAATCCCAGATGCATTCCTGAGTGAGAGAGGCCTTTTCAGGAAGACTGCAGATGGGGATTCCTTTCTAGAACCTTCCAGAATAGGCCAGTCCCCAGGAACGGGAAGATGCCCAGCCGTGGCAGGGCCTGCGTCTGTCTATAAACTTGCAGAGCTGACAGTAAAAAGTGAGTTCTGCTACGTGCAAATTAGACCTCGTTGTTTAAAACGCATCTATACGAGCTACAAATACCTACGAAATCTTCCCCCAAACGCACCTCTCGGGTTGGGGGACAGAAAGGCCAAAGGAGTGCCAAGTCCTCCCCACCCCACTCCAAGGCCAGAGCTCCAAGGAAAAGTGTGGGGGCAGGACAGATGCCCACACCAACCACAGGACCGCCGGGCTCAGCAAGGACCGAGGGACAGACGCCCACACCAACCACAGGACCAAGGCTCAGCAAGGACCAAGGGACAGACAACAACCTGCAGACCCCCCCGAGAAGCCTCCCAGGTGCAGGGCAACCCCTCAACCCACGGAAGACACACCCGCCACCAGCCCGTCCCTGACCGTCTTCAATGCGGCCCAGCCACCGTTGGCTCCCTCTGTCCTCGGCCACACAGTGGGCATAAATCTGATGCACCCCTGCTTAAAAGTCTCCGGAGTCATCATAGCACAGAGGATAAAATCCAGCCCCCTGGCCCTGTGGCTCTTCCGGCACCAGCTCGGAGCCTGCTTCTCCCTGGGCAGCTTGTGGCCTCTGCCTCCTCCAAGCAGCCCTCCTCAAACCCCAGTCTATACCCCACCCCCGTCTCTTTCCTCCAGGCTTTGAGCTTAATCCGCATTTTCTTCTGGGTTTATTTATTGTCTCTGCTCCACACACTATAAATTCGGGGACAACAGGAGCTGCAGGTGGCCTGTTGGCTTCTGATTCCCCAGCTCCGGCTGCAGAAGGTGCTCAGTTCATAGCTGTGGATAAATGAGGGAGGAAGGTCGCTTTGGCCTGCAGGTCCGCTAAAACCCGGGGCCTCTGTACCATGCCAGCATGTCTGCAGCCCGGGGGTTGTGTGGGTGGCATCGCCGGCCTTGTCCACGGCTGCAGCGGGCACTCAGGCCTGGAGCCTTGTCTGGCTTCCCGGCCTCACCCCCTCCCAGCATCACGCTGTGAAGGCCAAGGGGCACAGGTGTGGGGGCCTGCCCTTGCCCAGCAGCCCCCATGGCCTGCCCTGGGGTCTGAGCCTCGAGGAGGAGGGCTAGGACTCAGGGGCTGGTTGGAGCTAATACCCCCAGCATGACTCAGACCCAACACTTCCCCTTGGAGGTTCTTGTTCTGTTCCTGTTCACCAGACCCCCGGACCTGCCCCCGTTCCCAATCTCTTGGTTCTCCAGCTTCCTGCTAATCCAGGAGCCCCAGTATCCTTCCAGTAAACTCTCACTGGTTTTGGTTGGTCAGGGCTGCTGACCATCTCCCCCAGGCCCAGTCTCCGGTCAGGTTCCTGCCTCCAGGGAGCTTCCTAACCCCAGACCCCTGTCCTCAGGGGAGGAGAAAGAATCTCCAGGTCTTCAGAGCCTCCACCCTGCTGACCACGGAGGGAGCTCAAACTGCGTGGACGATGTCAAGGGGCCCCGGGCCCCCTGCCCAGTTGGGCTCTGCCCCAGGGGGGCCCAGCAGGAGCTGGGAGGTGAATCAAGGTTATTTTGTGCTGGCCAGGTCCCCCCTATAGTCCCTGGGGGGCCTCACCTACACAGTCCCCCCTCTACATGCTGGAACAGGTCCTCCCCTTGACCCTCTGACCTAGGGTGCTCAGCTCTGCTGCTTTGAGCTCTAGATTCCTGCCCCCGCCCTCAGGGTCCCCCGCGTCCCACCCATGTCTGGGTAGCTGCTCTGCAAATACACTGTCCACCTTCTCCTAATTTGCGTGTGCCCTCCGTGTCCCTCCAGGAAATGGGCCAGGGCTGGGCACCCCTGCAGTGGGCTTCTTGAGGGGCTCCTGCCCCTCAGTTAGCATCAGCTGCCTGCTCGTCCCTGCCCCTCTGCCCTTCCTGCGCAGGCCCCGCCCCCTGTTCGCACTCGCCCCTCCTGCGTAGGCCCCGCCCCTCCCGCGCAGGCCCCGCCCCCCGCGCAGGCTCCGCTCCCTGTTCGCCCCCGCCCCTCCACACGTCCTGCGCAGGCCCCGCCCCCTGTCCGCCCCCGCCCCTCCACACGTCCTGCGCAGGCCCCGCCCCCTGTCCGCACCCGCCCCTCCGCACGTCCTGCGCAGGCTCCGCCCGCCCGCTCCGGGTGACCTGCCAGCCATGGTGAACCTGGGTCTGTCCCGGGTGGACGACACCGTGGCCGCCAAGCACCCGGTGAGAAGGCTGGCCTGGGACGCGGGCCCCGGACCTCAGAAGCTGACCTGAGCGGGGCGGCTGCGGGCTCGGAGGGGGGTTACCCTCCTCAGGGAAGAGGGACCGAGAGCGGGGGGACCCTCCTGTTATGGGGATCGGTGCAGCCTGGGTGGACATGGAGGCAGGTGCGATGTGTCCAAGTCCCCAGGGCCTCCCGATGCGTGGTCCCCTTCCTTACGGCCAGAGTGTGCCCGAAGGAGGGACAGGAGGGCCTGTGAAAGAAGAGGGAGGGGAGCTGAGCCTTCACTCCTCCCCCATCCCAGGGACTGGGGGAGTACGCCGCGTGCCAGTCGGAGGCCTTCGTGAAGGGCATCTTCACCTTTGTCACAGGTAGGCTGGGTCCGGAAGTCCTGGGGTCTGGAGAGACCTCACCCTCCCGTCTCACCCTGAGTCCCCAGCAGGTGGCGTCGGGCCGCCCGTTCTCAGATGCTGGGAGCCTCACCGGGGCTGCGGGCACTCGGACGGCGCCCAGGTAGGTCCCCCGCCAGCCTCGTGGACGGGCTGGCTGATGGGGACCTTGGCTCTTGGCAGGCACTGGTGCAACCTTCGGCCTGCAGATGTTCATTCGGAGGAAGTTTTCGTACCCCTTCCAGTGGAGCGTGCTGGTGGCCGTGGGTGGGTACCCAGGGCCTGTACCTACAGCCTTAACATGCACCTGAGTTGCCAGAGGTGATGCTGGCTCTTCAGCAGGGGCGGGTTCCCACTAGGGGTGGGGAAGCTGTGGTCCCAGCATCCCTACCTCCTGGGCTGGGGTCCTAGTTCTCGGTGGGAGTCCTGCCAAGCCCACCACCACCATCTGCCCAGAAGAAGCCTGGGCCCAGGCCCCCTGTCCCTGAGAAGTGCAGAGGCCCAGGCCCACAGCCCACTGGCCCCTGCCCCCCGCTCCCCAGTCACAGGCTCAGTGGCCAGCTACTGGGTGACCCGAGTGGAGTCGCACAGATGTAGCAACCTCTGGCTCTTCCTGGAGACAGGGCAGCTCCCCAAAGACAGGGGCACAGGTGAGAGGCTGGGGGCAGCGGGAAGCAGGACCTGAGGCTCCAGGGCCAGAGGTTTAGGCAGGCAAGCCCAGGGCTCAAGGTGTAGGCTGGACAGGGCCTCTCCCCTGTGGCCTGTCCATCCTGGAGGGGTGGGAGTGGGTGGCATGCAACAGCCAGACCTTCCTGAGCCCCTTGTGCAGGAGGGGTTGGGTGGCCCTGGGATGGGGGGGGTGCAGAGTCAGGAGTGTGGACCCCCCGAGAAGAGTGGCCAGACACCTTCTTGGTAGGGGCGTCCTTCTTGGTAGAGGCCTGGTGAGCAGCTGAGGCTGTGATTCCAGCTGTCTCCCTCTGCCTCCTACAGGTCGGCACAGCTAAGAGAGCTCCAGCTGGGGCGCAGAAGACCTGGGGCCAGAAACTTCTAGAACATAGCCCTCAGGGCCTCCTCACCTCAGCCTCGCCCTCCCCCCTCACAGCCTAAGGTGACCCAACGGTGTCCCCTGCACACATGCATGGCCAGGTCTGCCAACCCTGTGCAAACCTTTACTCCTGCCCAGGTCAGGCCAGAGGGGCTGTCCCTGCGGTGGTTGGTCTCCCAGAGGACAGTGAGAAACATGGTGGACGCTGAGAGCTGGAAAGGATCAGAGAGGCCCTGGGCACTTGGTGGAAGGGACTTCTGCATGCCCTGGTGCTCTGACACTCCCTGTCTGGCCCTGGCATGCCCCACAGTCAGAGGGGACAGCTGCTGCTGGGGGTTGCTGGACAAATAAATGCCTTGCGTTTTCCCAACTGAGTTCGAAAACAATTGGGAAGCACGTCAAAGCAGTAAGAAGATGAGAGACAAATGCCACCTTAGCACCATATACTGACACTGGGGCACCTGCTGGGGCAGCTCCTAACACAGCCCCAGAATCAGACGGTTCCGCAGGCCTTCCCACATGGGGTCTGCTTCCACACATCTAGCCACGGGGGAGCAAAGAAGGTGTGCAGCCAGTTAGCACCTGGCCCCCAAGAGACAAGGCACAGGAAGTGGCCATGCCTACCCGCCTACCATTCCAAACACACCTATCAGGTTAAGTCACTTCGCTCCAAGGCAGGAGGAGGTGAGGGTCCGTGGAGGGAGGCCAGAGCTAGCTTACTGGAGTTCTGTCCGCAGGACTACATACCCCAACCCCCCGACCGAGGGAGAGGCATAGATATGTTACATAACAGCTGGGCAAATCCATCGTCCTGTACAGTTGACCGTACACGACACAGGGCCACGCTGCTCCAGCCCCAGCCCAACTCCTGCACCTCTTGGCCTAGCCAGTCATTCAAAAGAATATTGAGCACCTACTAGGCACCAGGGAATCAGTTAGTGGGAAGGCAAAATGACAGGAAGCCAAAGATAACCATGGCATGAGCAAGCTGGGGTTGGGGTTTACTTTCATGTAATAGTCCAAGTGGGTGATCCGGGGCTGATAGGTGGTCAAGGACCCAGGCTCCATTCAGTCTGCCCCCTGTTGTCATGGCCTCTATTCCTGATGCACCTCATGGTTCCACGCAGCCGTGCCAGCTCCAGCCATTGTGTCTTCATCCCAGTCACTAGGGAGGAGGACAGTTCACTCACCACTTGTGCTTACACTCCATTGGCCAAAACTAAGTCATGCGGTATACCCAGTGCCAAGGTGCCTAGGAAGACAGCCTTGTTCAGGGCAGCCGCGTAGCCCGCTAAAATTCAAGGGTTGTATATCTGAGGAAGAAGGGAGCCAGGTCTGTGTACCGCCAGGCATTCTCCCCCGGCCTCACCGATACTGAGGGACAGTGAGCAGACTTTGCCTGAGGCCCAGGGAGAACGGGGAAGGACCGTGCCTGTGACTGGTCCTGCCAAACCCCTGAGGTCTCAGAGCGACAGCAGAAGGTGAACCTGGAGTTTTAAATGGGACTGGATTCACTTTTTAAAAACTGGCAATGACCAGGAAAGCTAAAATGTCTGCGTGAGGTCTTAGACAGCATATGCGTGATGGCCATGGTTATGAACTGTGTGTCCCCAGATTTACATGTCACGGCCCTAACACTCAGGACCTTAGCATATGACTGCATTTGGAGACAAGGCCTTGAAAGAAATGATTACATGAAAATGAGGGGGAGCCCTGATCCAGTCTGGCCCATGTCCTCCTGAGGGGAGGAGGACACAGACACGCACGGAGGGACGACCTTGTGGGGACACAGCAAGAAGACAGCCGTCTCCCAGCTCAGGAGGAACCAGCCCTGCCTGGCTGATGGGGACCTTGGCTCTTGGCAGCCTTCGGGGCGGGGCGGGGCGGGGCAGGGGGCCTGAGAGCGGGTGGGAAAGGCCGAGGGTCTGCGTGATGGTGGAGAGTCTGGGATATGGGACTCAGGTGGCCTCTGAAGTGGAAGGGGATGAGGCTGGGGCCTGGCCAGGTCTCCTGGGGGAGAGAGGGCATCAGTTTAGGTCGCTGGTCAGAACACTGAAGTCCTGGGTGGTGCACGGGCCTGGGAGTGGACATGGCTTCAGAGACAGATCCCATGGGCTACTGTGTCATGTGACCAGGGGCAGGTTCTAGCTCACCTGGATGCCCCGGCCACAGGGGAGAGGCACAGCCACCTCCGGGCCTGGGGACGAGGCCAGGCCTGGGCAGTTTTCCTGAGTGGGGGGCAGCCCCTGTCCATTGGCCCCTGTCCAATGGCTGCACCTCGATCTCAGACTCCCAGCCTCCAGGATACGAGACAATAAATTCCCACTGTTGCAGCCACGTGGGCTGTGGCACTCTGTTATGGCAGCCCCAGCCAATTCAGGCAGCGTGGCCAGAAACAGTAACCTAGCTGGTATGCACCCTGGGATCCCAGCCTGTCGGGTTGGGGCACACAACTCCAAGGGCAGCGTGGGCCGGGGATGACCCCTCCCAGAGTAAGTGACACCTAAAGCTAGACCCAGGAACTCCCCCAGGGAAGCGGAGGCGGAGCAGGATGGCTCCAGGCAGCAGGCGAAGGGCAGGGAGAGATGGGGCCTCACAAGCCAGGTCGCCCAGGGTGCAGAGTCTGAGCTTGGGGTGGGGTGAGGGAATGGAGATCCCATAAGGCAGAGATTGGAAGTTTTAGGAGGCTCAGAGGACAGCCTGGGGGTGTGGAGGGGATGGGGAGGGTACAGGGGGCTGGTGTGGGGTACACTGTCAAACCACCCCAAATCACCATGGCCCTGTGGAAGGCGCCTCCACCCTGGCAGTGCTCCTGAGCAGAGAGCAGCCTAAGACCCACGCATCCAGGGGACAACCCCAAGGCTGACTGGGAGCAGGGGGTGGGGGCAGGGCGGGCCAGGATCTCCAGGGTTCCCTGAACTGGACATCGAGAACCTCAGCCCTCATCACAATGGGCCAAGATTCCGGGACAATCTGAAGTGCATGCGGTTCTGCTGAGCAGGCCCAGCACAGGGAGGGCAGGAATGCAGAGGGTCCCTGGAGGACCCTGAGGGCTACCATGAAGATGCGCAGCGAGGCAGATGTGGACGAGCAGATCCAGGAGCTGAAGACAATCACTCGGCTCCAAGGTGAGCCCACCCCCAGGTTCCAGCCTGCCTGGCCACTTTCTGGGCTCAGGGGCTTTCAGATTTAACACAGGGCCAGTCCAGGGCAAACAAGGACTAGTGACCACCTCCCTCAACAGATCTAAGAGAAGGGACCAAAGGGGCTGCCATGCAGGAGGCTTCAAGGAGATTTGTGAGCACAGTGAGCCCCAAAGCCAGAGGGGACAGGCAAGGACCCATCTGCTTCCCTGGCCAGTGGGTCTGGAAGGGATCCCAGGATGTGCCCATCTCTGGCTGCCACCTCATCCTCCCCACTGCCCAGCAGAGCCATCCACATAAGCACTGTTGAGCAGGGAAGCCGGTGAGCCTTAGTTGGTGGGAGAGAGGACCGTGGCTGTGGAGGCAGCATTCTCGTGCCCACCCCACCTTGGGCCTCCCTGGTGTGGAGCCTCCCCAGCTCAGGAATCCGGCCAGCCTTTGGCCCACATCCTGGCCTCCTGGCCCTCTGCCCCTCTGCTCCCCACCCCCTACTGCAGAGCAATGTCGGGCACTGCAAATCCAAGCGGTAAAGGAGAAGAGTGCCAAGAACAAAACCATGCTGGCTCTCCTGAGCAGCAACATCCGACGCGGGGCCCAAGATTGGGTTTTGGCCAATAAGGTAAGCAGTCCTGCCCCCTCCCTGCTGACCCCTGGCTGGGGATGGGGGGAGGGGGCATGCACGTGCTGAAACAGTCCCACACAGAGGTGGAGGGCAGGCATCTCCTCTTCTCCCCCCTCACCCCTGACCTTTCAGGAGCCAGGGGGCATCTTGGGGAGGGGCTTCCCAGGACCTGTTCCCCTAGCTCCAGTCACTCCCGAAAGCCTAGCAGACAGGGTTGGCCTGACTGCGGTCCTTTTCGCGGCTACCCCCTACAGCACGGGCCCCTCTGGCTCTCTGGCCATGTAGGGGAGACTGGGCCCTCTCCTCCAGACTTCCATCACATATGAGCTGTGATGACCCGGATGGGGCCTTGCTGCTGGCTAGCACAGGGTAGAGGAGGCCGGGGGAGAATGGCTGGCGGAACTGGGGGCTGGCGGTACACACAGAGACCAGGGCCCCAGCTCAGCCGCCGCCGCTCTGCAGGATGACCAGCGGACCATTTCCAAGGCTTGCGGGAAGGACGCGTCCATGAGGCTGGCGCACTGCCGCTCCTCCATGGAGGTGAGGTGGCAGGAGGGGGTCCCTCAGCCTCTCCCAGCCAGTGCACGCCCCCCCCCCCACCACCACTAAACGACGCTGCGGAACCGGTGGCGGGCAGAGCGGGGGCCCGATCCCGGGGGTTCCGCCCCTCCAGCCCCGCCGCGCGCGGGCTCCGCGGCCCCCTGCACACCCACGCGCGGGCCGTGCCCTCCCCGACCCAGGTGGCGCGGGAGAAGCTGCGAAAGTACGTCTTCGACCGCGTGAACGTGCACAACGTGCTGATTCACCTGGTGCGGCGGCGGGGTCAGAAGCTGGAGAGCATGCAGCTGGAGCTGGCCAGCTTGAGGAGCCAACCGGACGCCACCAAGGAAGAGCTGCGCATGCTACAGGTGGCGGGCGGGGCGGGGCTTCGTAGGATGGGCGGGGCCCTGGAAGGGGCGGGGCTAGATGAAAGACACCCAGGCGCGCGCGCGCGCGCGCGCACACGCACACACTCACACTCTCCGTCCCTCCCTCCCTGGAAGAAAGCGCATCCTCCGGGGTCAGACTCCAGGTGGGCATTCCGGTGGGCTGTCCCCAAGCACTGTGTGCCCTCGGGCCACCCCCAGGTCATCCGCCAGCTGGAGAACAACATTGAAAAGACCATGATCAAGATCACCACAAGTCAGAACATCCACCTGCTGTACGTGGACCTGCTGGATTATCTGAAGAAAGTGAGCCCCCTCACCCCACACCCCAGCCCAGGGAAGCCATCTGGCCGTGAGCACAGAAGTCTCAGGCCCCAGCCTAGGTGCAGTGCATCTCAGTGGGGACAGGAGCCTCTGGGGCAGGGCCACGCTCCCCGCCCCCCCGCAGGGGAGGGGCTGCAACTCTCCTTCAGGCCAGTGTGCCCCAAGGACAGACCCCTGCTTTGGGCCCCAGCTGAGCAGGGGCACCATGTATCTGTATGTGGAAACTTGTTAGTTGCTTCTTCAAAAAGGCATATTATGGGATATATCAGAATTGCTTGGGTTTTTGCATGTATTTGATGGTTCAATGTTTTTATTTTGCCCCATCCTTTCTCGCTTGCCTGGCCTCTAGGGCAAAAGATGGGTCCTGAGCCCTCAGAAAGTGCCCTAACATCATAGAGGGCAAGTCACCTCTGAGCAGGCCGGTAACCCCGTGCTTGCTGCCCACCTCTTCCAAGCCGCCCACCCTGCCCCCAGCAGATGAGGCCTGGAGGAGGCCCCCGGGGGCCATGAGTCCTGCTGGGAGGCAGGGCCTCTCCATGAGGAGGAGGAGGACCAGAAGACAGGAGGGCTGC